AGAACAAGCAAGGCAGCCGCACACTGGTCTGATGATCAAAGAGCGAGAGACAAGAAAGACGAGGCTCGCCGAGCCATTTCTCTCTCTGCTCTTCAAGTAATCCCACATGTGTTTATCTGCCAGGCTGGCACGATAAACCAACTACCTCAATACTCATTTAATCTGTATGCTGAGCAAATACTCTGAGAAACTCAACTCTATAAGACAGAATGCAGCGTCAGGACTAGAGGGAGGTTTATTAAAAATCTGCAGTATGCAGACCACACTACCTGGCTTGGTGAAAGTGAGGAGGACTTGAAGCACTTGCTGATAAAGTTCAAGGACTGATGTATGGCAATTCGATGTAAAGAAAACCAAAATCCTCACAACTGAACCAACAGACAAGAGAATGAAAACCAGAGAAAAGACTGAAATTGCTAAGGGTTCCGTTTTGCGTGGATCCACAGACATTGTGCACGGAAACTCTCAAAACCCAAAGCTCACTGCCATCAAGTTAATGCTGGCTTGACAGCAGTCCTATAGGACAGAACTACCTCTGTGTGTTTCCAAGACTGTAACTCTTTACGGGAATAGAAAGCCTCCTCTTTCACCCGTGATGTGGCTGGTGGTTTCAAACGGCTGATCTTGCAGTTGGCAGGTCAAAGCTCACAGAAGCAGCAGCCATGAAATCAAACAACGGATTGCATTGGGTGACTCTGCAGCACAAGGCCTCTTTAAAGTGTGAAAAGGCAAAGATGTTACTCTGAGCACTCAAGTGAGCCTGACCCAAGCCATGGTATTTTCAGTCACCTCATACGCATGTGAAAGTTGGACACTGAATAAGGAAGGCTGGGCAAGAATCAATCATTTGAAGTATGGCGCTGGCAAGGAACACTGAAAGCATCATAGACTTCAGAAGAACAGCTCTGTCTCCAAGAAGTGCAGTCAGAAAACTCCTTCGATACGAGTTTGGGGAGACTTCGTCTAATGTACTCTGGACATGTTACCGGAAGAGACGACCCTTGGGGGGAAGCTTCACGTTGGTAAAGTAGGGGGTCAGTGAAAAAGGGGGAGACTTCCAAGGAGACGGATGGACACCGTGGCTGCCACTGTGGCTCCAACAGAGGACCGACTGTGAGGATGCTGCAGAACTGAGTAACGGTCCCTTCTGTCGTGAAGAGGGCGCCACGATTCCCAGCAGGCTCAGCGTCTCACAACCACAATAACAGAAACGCCACAAGCGGATCGCTTTAATCAGCAGGCATTTATTTTCTCCCAGGTAAGGAGGCTGGCAGTCTGAATTCAGGAAAGGGCATTCTGTCAGCTCTGACCTTGTCTCTTCTGAACTGCTCCTGCGCGATTTTCATGTGGCTTGCCATCTTTCTTCCTCCAACTCTGCTTCCTTCCTTGCTCATTGAATAATCTCCTTTCTTTCCTTCATTTTTCTTTTGTTCTATTGGGGGCTCTTACAGTTTTTATCAAACGAGATTGATTGAAGACACACTCCAAACTGATGCATTCCCAAATGGGATTTACAGTATTGTGGGAAGCACAATTCAATACATAACAGATGGCATGTTTGGTTAGATGTATGCTCGCCATAACAAAAAGCCATGTGAGTACCATACTGGGTGCTTTACACAGATTCTCCAGTTTAACCCTTCCAGCAACCAGCAAGGCAAAATTAGTTAACCCCATTTCACAGCTGCCGCAGCTGTGTCCACTTAGCCACTAAGAGACAGCTGAGCCACGCCTCCCTCCATCTTGGTCTTCGGATTCCAGGGGCTGCTTCTAGGACTTTCTGTACTAACCTGCCACTGTCCACTCGCTGGTTACCTGCCCTCCAACCTCACTGAGGACACAAGAAGGCTGACAATCTGGACCCTTGTATTAGTCTAGGTACTTTAGAGAAACAAATCCACAGCAACTCATGTATAAGAGAGTTTTATGTAAAGAAAATGTGCATCATGAAAACATCCCAACCCAATGCTGCCCAAGCCCACAAGTCCAACATTAACCCATGAACCCAACACCAGTCCACAAAGTCCTCCACCTCATAAAACAGAGGCAATGATGCCGACTGCAGGAGGAAAGCTGAGTCAGTGAACGAATAAGCATCTCACCACTAGCAGGGGTCTCCACGCGGCTGCTCCAGCACCCAGGGCTGCATCGGGATAGGTCCATGTGGCTTCTCCTTGGGGTTGTCTTGTAGGAAGTCAATCTTGCAAGCTGAAGCAGGCAACTGCTAAGGCAGCTGCACCCTGGTGCAACCATCACAAAGCAAGAGACCCGAGAACTAGAAAGGCGAGGTTCACCACCCATTTATCCCTCCGCCTTTCAATTAGCCCCACATGTGATTATCGGCCAGGTTGGCACAATTAACTAACTCAACCCCTTTTAAAACAGAGATGTCAAATGACCACATCACACTCTTCTAGCCCATTGCATAGTATCTGGACGTCCTACAGAGGCCCATGTACGTTAAGCGCAAGGGGAGCCCTTAAATGCAGAGAAACGGAGGATGCGGGGTGTGCACCTCCCTGGAGGCTGACAGAAGAACAGCCAGAAACCTCCTGGAAGTGAGACTTTGTCTCCGTTATGTTGGACAGGTCATTAGGACGGGCTGGTCCCAGAAGGACGTCATGCTTCAAGGGTCAGCTGAAAAAAAAGGAAGACTCTCCGTGAGGTGAATCGCCACCGTGGCTGTGACAATGGGCTCAAATCCCGGAGCAATTGTGAGGATGGCGCCGCCGGGCAGTGTTTGCTTCTGTTGTACACAGGCCACTGTGAGTCGACGGCGCCTGGCAACCACCTCCCTTTTCAGATCCTCAAAGACTGCAAAACACTAACATCCTTAAGAAAACTGCCTTTCTTCCATGAACTTCTGAGATCTCTTGGGAGACCGAGGCTGAAGCTTGTGTTCACCTTCTCCAGCGCCCTCACAGCTGTGCTCTGCTCCCCTCGCCCTTTCAAACAGCAGTCATAGAAACCCAACTGCGATGCCAAGAGCCTGCTGGCTCCTTTTCCCTCCGTTTGTATTGTTTCTCCTTCCACTGGGGCTCTCCTTGATCACAACCCTCAAGACTGCTACTACTTTCTGTCCCACAGCCTGCCACCACCCCTGCCTCCTTTCCAAAGACTCCAGCTTCTCACAACTGAAGGTTCACTTTAAGCCATTCACTCCTCTCCCAAGAATCTAGCCTAAGGAAACCATACCTGTGCAGGTGTTTGATGTAGTCAGGCTTTTAACAGCGGAAAAACTGGGAGCAATCTAGCAGTTCACAATAGGAAATGGTTAAATAAATGATGTGCATCTATTGCAACAAAATAACATGCAGCCATTAAGGATGATGATTCAGAAGAACGTCAATTGCTGTGGAATATATTCATAATAATACTAAGTATAAACAGCTGGATACAAAAGAGGACCTAAACTATGCCCTATTTTTTTTTGACAGATCGTCAAAGCTTTATTTCAAATTACAGAACGCTTAAAAAATAAATGCTATAATACTCTGTTGTTATGCTGGGAAACTTGGAGAAAGTTGCTGGCTGTCCTCAAGGGCTGGGAGGCATGAAGCTGTGGCAGGAGAGCAGGGCGTGGGGGGCGGCGGCGGCTGGTGTACAGGAGGCCGTCCCTACTCCACACACCGGCTTCTCCTCTTGTGGCGGCTCTCTATGGCCCTGCGGAGCGCCTCGTCCCGGACCAGGTCTGACATCCTCACGTCCGTGTGGCTGCAGCCGATCTTAGGGCAACAGGCCTTCTTGGTCCTCCGGCGCTTGGAGTCCACGATGCGGACAATGGCCTCCTCTTCGTAGGTGTGGCCGCAGACTTTATTTTTTACTGGCCTCTTCATTTTCAACTGTGTGACAGGGCAGATGAAGTTGGTCTGGCTTTGGGTGACAATCATATCTACGTCAACTCCTTCTGTCCCATCCGCCTCTCTGTCTGCTGGAAGGCCATACTGCTTCTTAAGTTCTTTCAGCTGTTGCTTGTATTGCACAAACTTCTCATTATTTTGAAAGTCTGCCTCAGAATTCTTATTCTGCAATGCCACAAATTTCCTTTCCACCAGTAGTTTTAAATCTGGTACATTTTCTGGACGGTCTTCTTTGACATGATTTATTGCAGACTGGACAGCCTTTAGCTCCCGATCCATTACAGCAAACTCAACCATCGCCTTGTCCATACTGTATTCACTACTCACTTCAGTCTGAGTCTCCACAAGATCCAAAGCCACGTGAGAGGCGGCATCCATTCCGGAGCTGATACAGGACTGGAAGTTTTTTAAGGAGGAGAGGGCAGATTCTACGCCACTGAAGGAGATGAAGCCAGTGGAACCTGAGTTTGACCGCCCCGGCATCTTGGAACTTTTATCTGGATGCCGGACCTGTCTCCTCGACTTCCCGCCCCGGGACCCCAGCACTTTCCTTGAGCCCCTGGCACTGGTCGCTGAAGCGGGGAGCGGGACCCGACCTCATCCAACTATGCCCTATTTTTAATGACATTTACCCAAAAAAGAAGGTATGTATGTTAGGCCAGGTTAACTAGACAAACAAATCCAAGTTAACTAGGTTAACTAGACAAACAAATCCAGAGACACCCATCTATTTATCAAGGGATAATTGTATATCAAGAAAGCATCCCAGCCCAGTCCAGATCAAGTCCATACGTAGTCCATAAGCCGGATACTAGTCCATAAATCCCTCTGCAGACTCACACAGCCACATGCAATGGTGCAGATGCAGGATGATCACCGGCCAGTGGGTGCAAGATTGTGTGGATCCAGTGGCAGTGGGCACACGCAGGGCTCTCAAAGGTCATAGCGCGGCTCTTCAACAGGAAGGTGAAGGCAGAGAAAGAGAGGGGAGGTTCCCAGGACCCTCCTTATGAGAAGGTCAACCCACAAGGAAACACCATCAGGCTGTGACCTGAGTGACAGGCTAGACTCCACTCCTAAACTTTTATATCTTCAAGTTGACATGAAATTATAAAACTACCACAGTATGTATATAATATAATATATTATATACAGAAATAGAGCTATGCATCAGAATAAGAGTTTGTGTTTAAGAAGTAAGTAAGTGTTCTTTGGGGGCAGTCTTTTTTGTCCATTTTTTATCTTTTACATATATTACTTTTATAATTTAAAAATTGTGTATCCTACCCATGAAGCTGCCATGGGTTAGAATCAATTTGAAAACACAAGACAACTTTTTTCTTTTTTTCCCTTTCTGGGGCATCACATTTATTCAAATATTGGTGGGTGTCAAAAGTTATAGGAGTTGTAGTGTGGGATTAATTGCATTGAGTAGTATTTTAAAAATCACTTCATGTGAAACAGCTACAGTGGGGGGGGGTGAGGGTTCTGATCCATAGCGACCCTGTCTCTGCCCAACAGAACCAACCACCGTCCAGTCCTGCCCATCCTCACAACTGTTCTTAGCTTGAGCCCATTCTTGTGGTCCCTGTGTCCATCCATCTGCTCGAGGGCCTTCTTAACAAGATATATTTATACCCCAAAAGAGACTAAGTCATGAATTCACATTGTTCAAACTTCAGACACTCTGGGTTAAGGTAGAAAGTTTCTCTCTCACTAATCTTTCTGCCTCAATTCCCCTCCTCATAGGAAAATAACATATTATCTACTTCTGCATCTACATTTAGAGATTTTTTATGCATTTCCACACCCATAGACACTATGGAGATATATATAGATATAGATATAGATCTATCTATCTATCTATCTATCTATCTATCTATCTATCTATCTATCTATATATATATATATATATTCATTCCTTTTTTTCTTTTTAAGACACAATAGCCTACTGCAGACTTTTCTGGATTTTTGCTCTTGTTTTATTAAACAAGAGATCTTGGGGTTCATATCTGCACACAGAGGGTTGCCTCAATTTTCATTACAACTACTTAGTACATGTTGTTGTTGTTGTTGTTGTTGTTGTTGGATGCCATCGAGTCCATCCCAACTCCTAGCAACCCTATGCACAAGAGAAGGAAACACTTCCTGGCCTTGCACCATCCTCTCAATCGTTCCTGCGCCTGAGCCCATTGTTGCAGCCACTGTGTCAACCCATCTTGGTGACTGCCTTCCTCTTTTTTCCTACCCCTCCACTTGACCAAGCATGATGTCCTTCTCCAAGGGCTGGTCTCTGCTGACAATATGTCCAAAGTATGTAAGACGAAGTCTTGCCATCCTTGCCTCTAAGGAGCACTCTGGTCCTACTTCTTCCACAACAGATTTGTGTGTTCCTTTAGCGGCCAATGATACTTTAAACATTCTTCTCCAGCACTACAACTCAAATACATTGATTCTTTTTTCATTCTTCCTTATTCAGTGTCCAACTTTCACAGGCATATGAAGCTATTGAAAATACCATTGTTTGACTCAGGTACACCTTATTCCTCAAAGTAAGTTCCCCTGCTGTTCAACATTTTAAAGAGGTCTTGTGCAGCAGATATGCCCAATGCAATGCATCATTTGATCTCTTAACTGCTGATTCCATGAGCATTGATTGTGGATCCAAGCAAGACAAAATCCTGAACAACTTCAACCTTTTGTCCATTGATCATGATGCTACCTATTAGTCCGGTTGTGAGAATTTTAGTTTTCTTTACAATAAGTTGCAATTCATACTAAAAACTCATATCTTTGATCTTTATCAGCAAGTGTTTCACATCCTCCTCACTATCAGAAAGCAGGTTTGTGTCATCTGCACATCGCAGGTTGTTTAGAAGTCTTCCTCCAATGCTGCTGCTGCATTATTGTTCATAGAATACAACTTCCCTGATTACTTGCTCAGCATACAGACTGAATAAGTATGTGAGAGGATACAACCCTGACACACACCTTTCCTGACTTTCAACCATGCAACATTCCCTTGTTCAGTTCGCACAACTGCCTCTTGATCCATGTACAAATTCCACAAGGGTAAAATTAAGTGTTCTGAAATTTCCATTCTTCCTAAGGTTATATATAGTGTGTTATGATCCACACAGTCAAATACCTTGGCATAGTCAATAAAACAAGTAAGCATCTGTGGTAGTTATATGATCATTTGTCAATTTGAGGATTAAGAGTGTAGGGGTGGAGTCTAGCCTGTCAATCGGATCATAGCCAATGAGGTCTCTGTGTGGGCATGGCTTTCTCCTGAGAATTCTGGGAAATATGGTTTTTCCTCCTTGGAGGTGAGAGACTCTCAAGACACTGCCTATGAGACTTTGCAGCTGACAAGACACATGGAACTATGCTAGTGCCCTGAGCTGGAGAAGCCACATGGACCTACCCTGATGCCACCAGACCTCTGAAGCCAGAGAAGCCACGTAGAGACCCCTGCCAGCGCTGAGATGCTTACAATACCACTAGCTCCAAAGATTTTCTACCCACTGGCCTGTGATCTTCCTGCATTCGGCATCACTGCATGTGTTTCATGAGTCTAAAGAGGACGTTATAGATTGGTATCAGACATATGGGCTAATATTGGACTTATGGACTTGATCTGGACTGGATTGGGATGCTTTCTTAATGTACAAGTATCCTTTATATACAACAGTCTTATACACATATGCGTGGTTATGAATTTGTTTCTCTAGTACACCCGGACTAACCACATCTTTGTGGTATTCTCTGCTTTCAGCCAAGATCCATCTGACATCAGCAATGATAGACATCCCTTTTTCCACATCGTCTTCAGGATCCTACTTGAACCTCTGGCAGAAATCTGTCGATATATTGCTGTAATTGTTGTTGGATGACCTTCAGCAACATTGTATTTGCACATGATATCAATGATCTTGTTCTATAGTTAAGCATTCTGTTGGGTCACCTTTCCTTGGAATGGGTACAAATATGGATCTCTTCCAGTCAGTTGGCCAGATAGCTGTCTTCCAAATTTCCTGGCATAGAACAGTAAGTGCTTCTAGGTCTTCATCAACCTGTTGAAACATTTCAATTGGGTAATTCATCAATGCTTGGAGCCTTGTTTTTGGCTAATGCTTTCAGGGCAGTTTGACTTTCTTCCTTCAGCATCATTGGTTCTTGTCCATATACAACCTCCTGAAATGGTGGAATATTGACTAGTTTTGGGGGGTACTGTGACTCAGTGTATTCGTTCCATCTTCTTTTGATGCTTCCTGCATCATTCAACATTTTGTCCATAGAATCTTTCAAGATTGCAACTCGAGGCTTGAATTTTTTCCTCGGTTCCTTCCGTGTAAGATATGCTGAGCATAGTCTTACTTTTTGGTTTTCTAACTCTAGGTCTTTGCATATTTCATTATAGTGTTTACTTTCCCTTCTTGAGCTTCCCTTTCTATTCAGCTCTTTGACTTCGTCGTATCTTTCATTTTCTTTAGCTACTCTATCCTTAAGAGCAAGTTGGAGTCTCTTCTGACATCCACTTTAATCTTCTCTTTCTTTCTTATCTTTCTAATGGCCTTTTGCTTTCTTCATGAATAATTTTCTTAATGTCCTCCCACAGCTCATCAGTTCTTCTGTCATTAGTGTTCAATGCAGCAAATTTGTTCTTGAAATGTTCTTGGAATTCAGGTGGGAACGACTCAATATCCTATTTTGACTCTAGTGCACTTGCTTTGATTTTCCTGTTTTAACATGAACTTAGAGATGAGCAATTGATGGTCTGTCCCACAGTCAGTCCCTGGCCTGGTTTTTGCTGCTAATATTGAACTTCTCCATCATCTCTTACCACAGATGTAATCAATTTGATTTCTGTGTATTCCATCTGGAGAAGTCCATGTGTATAGTCGCCATTGTGTTGTTGAAAAAGGTTATTTGCCCCCGCTCCCACTACCATGACTTGAATTCTATCTTGCAAGACTGGCTAGACCAGAGGAGGTACACTGGTACAGATAGGAATTGAAAATACAGGGAATCCAGGGCGGATGATCC